TCATCTTACAACACTCTTAGCCTTTATCTGTCAAGCGGGTAGAGAGGGACCTTTGATTAGTCTTTCTCCAAAGCATGTTTAGCACATTTGTGAAAGGTAAAGTCATAGAAAGCTTCAGAAAATTGACTGCCAAGACAAAAAGGGGGATTTGGTTTGGTCTCTAGTGTGACCCAGAGGAATAAAGCAGATGAGATACTTAGCATGGAAAGTTAAACAATCTCTTGGCTCTGAAAGTCCAACCTTGAAATCAGGATAGCTTGCAAGATCAATGAATTGAACAGGTTTAGCTTTAATAGAGATTTGCAGCACGTGTTAACACTCTCACACACTGATAGTTCACCATTCAGTAGGGTTCCCAGTTTGTAAAGAGAAAGTAAATTCACAACCAGAAGCAGCACTTGCTTTGAACACCCTGCCTTGCTTTGCAAGTTGGATCTCGGGTGACCTGCTCACAAGACCCGGATCTCGAGGGCAACGGTCTCAGAAACAAGCACTCAGGGGTCTACCCCAGGGTCCCAAAGGGGAGAAATGGAAAATAAGTTATGAAGTTATTAGCTCAATGTCCAAGTGGAGAATGGTGACGAGCGGCGTTCCTCAGAGGTCGGTACTGGGACCGGCACTGTTCAACATCTTTGTTGGCGACATGGACAGCAGGATCGAGTGCACCCTCAGCAAGTTTGCCGACGACACCACGCTGTGTGGTGTGGTCAACACACTGGAGGGAAGGGATGCCATCCAGAGGGACCTCGACAGGCTGGAGAGGTGGGCCCATGCGAACCACATGAAGTTCAACAAGGCCAAGTGCAAGGTCCTGCACGTGGGTTGGCACAATCCCAAGCACAACAACAGCCTGAGCAGGGAATGGATTAAGAGTAGCCCTGAGGAGAAGGACCTGGGAGTGTTGATTGATGAGAAGCTCAACATGAGCCGGCAGTGTGCGCTTGCAGCCCAGAAAGCCAACTGTGTCCTGGGCTGCATCAAAAGAGGTGTGACCAGCAGGTCGAGGGAGGTGATCCTGCCCCTCTGCTCAGCTCTTGTGAGACCCCACCTGGAGTACTGCGTCCAGCTCTGGGGGCCCCAGTACAGGGGAGACATGGACCTGTTGGAGCGAGTCCAGAGGAGGGCCGCGAAGCTGATCAGAGGGATGGAGCACCTCTCCTATGAGGACAGGCTGAGAGAGTTGGGATTGTTCAGCCTGGAGAAGGCTCTGGGGAGATCTAATTGTGGCTTTACCAGTACCTGAAGGGGCCTACAGGAAAGATGGTGAGGGACTGTTTATGAGGGAGTGTAGGGACAGGACAAGGGGTAATGGGTTTAAGCTGAAGGAGGGTCGATTTACATTAGATGTTAGAAAGAAATTCTTCACTGTGAGGGTGGTGAGGCACTGGAACAGGTTGCCCAGAGAGGTTGTGGATGCCCCCTCCCTGGGAGTGTTTAAGATCAGGCTGGATGGGGCTTTGGGCAACGCGGTCTAGTGGAGGGTGTCCCTGCCCATGGCCAGGGGCGCTGGAACTAGATGGTCTTTAAGGTCCCTTCCAACCCAAACCATCTATGATAAGTGATGAATTTTCCAGGACCAAACCTATTTTAGCATACATTGCACACAATGCTGACACTGAGGAGGGAAAAGCAGGTCCTGTCCATCAAAGGCTATCGAATGATTTTCCTGATTTGTGTTTTAACTGTGACCCATCTCAGAGAGGCTGGGAGTGAGTTGCAGCCAGTGGTAAGAGCAGGGGATTGGTGATCAAGCCTCAATGCTGACCTTAAAGTCAGAAATAACCTTTCTGGAGGTTTCTGTGGCAAAGCAGCACAGATGTCTGCTTAAACTCCTTTGCAACTGTGGCCCCCCACCCTTTCATCCTTGGTTCCTTCTAGAAATGAAGGCAAATCTTTTTTTTTTTTTCTTTTCTTCTGGCTAGGAGTGTGCGATGCTCAGACAGGGGCTTTCTACTGATACACAGGCACATATTCACAGCGCATAATGTCAGGTACCAGAAAAGGAGGCATCTCCAACACACACGCACATAGGCAGGGCTCCCAGGTGGTCTAATGGTCATACAAGCCTTAACTGAATTTGTGCCCTCAGGCACAAAGATGTCAAATGATCATTCACTAGCTTCAATAAATTCTGCCTGAAAACATCAGCATTTCTCCCCAGCCTATTCCCCAGCAAAGCAATTCCCAGGCTGCCATTTCCCAGCATTGCCTTCAGTGGGACACAACCCTCCTGAGCTCCCCTCCTCCAGCCCAGCTCCAGTCCCCTCCGAGGGAACGGTTCCCCACAAAGGAGAGGTTTGATCCAGGCCATCTCCACTACCACCAGACCCACAGCAAACCCCGCTCACTCGCAACCTTGCGTCGTCCTGCCCCATCATTTCCAAATTCATCACACCGGAAAGCAAAAGCAAGCACTACTCACCACAACGAGCAGAAAGGCTGCTGGGGCTTCTGCAGCGGGGTGCAAGCCCTCCAAACTCCACACTTGTGCGTGCACAAGCACTGCCGCTCAGTCTTACCAAGGCAAGTGCATCAGACCATCTGCTGCCAGTAACTTAGGGCTGTGAGGGCTATTCTTTGGCTTAAATAAGAACCAAACACAAGAACTTACATGGCTGCAAACTTCATCCTGATCTGAGGCAGCGTGTGGCAGCCGAGGCTGAACCAGAGAGGACAGCGAGTCACGTCAGCATAGCAGGCCCTTCCTCCCGCTAGAGATGTTCGCATCGGGCCGCTTAGCACAGGAACAAGAAAACAGTAGTAACAGGGAAGACCCCAGTTTGAACACAGCCCTCCTTTCCCTCATGTTTAGGAGGGCCGTGTCCCACGTAGGCAGCTCACATGCTCCCCTTGCTGAATAAGCCATTTCCCTCACAGGCACCACTTACAGCCACCAACGCAGGCCACGAGCCCTCAGCAGGCAGGCAGCCCTCCCTCAGCCTTGCCGCTGCCTTTGCTTCTCCAGCAAGAGCCACAGAGGTTTTCTAACCTCCTCCCTGCTCTCAAATGACCTGCACCTGCAGTTCATGGAGAGCAGCTGGAAGAGGTGGAGCCCATATGCAAGGGAAGGAGGGCAGGAGACCACCCTCTGCTAAAGGACCTCTGTCCTCCTGGAGCACGAAGGCTCCCAACCAGCCAACGGGGACTTCTCTCTCTGGCCGCTCTCTCCTTAGCCCCAGGAGCAGTCACAGTCCGAAAGGTTTTGCCACCCAGGCAACTGTCGCCGCCAAGGGCATCTTCAGCAAAAGGAATGATATTGATCATAGAAAAGAAAAAAAAAAGAAAAAAAATCAATTCCAGTAGAAAAATAATTTAATAAAGGGATAAGTTTCAAGAAAATATCTGTATAGTAACAACATTTTAAGTAAAATGTCCACAAAAATATACATGTCTAATGTGATTATACATAAGTTTTCCGACAGGTCCCGTTTTAAACTTGGTTCAGTCCATCTGGGTTTTCATCTAGGAAAAACCTTCACTGCTACCAGACTTCCTGGGATATATCAGTTTGCACAACAGAATCATACGAGAAATGTTTTCTATCTCATTTTAGGCTTATACAAATAAACTTTAGAGTTGGTAACAGTCCAGAAGAGATCAGATTATACCATATCTTTAAAAAACAAACAAACAAACAAACAAAGCAGAAGTCAGCCACCTAAGGGACACTGCCGGGCAGAAACATCAGCCCTACAATACACACCACACTTAACACTGACACAGCTGGAAAAGGAGGGGGATGAAGGAAAGATGGGCAAGAGGGAGGGGAAAATCCCAGGAGGAGGATTCCCAGGAATTGTGGAACCCCTAAAGAAGAGGGCTATAGAGAGGCCAGGGGAAAAGCACACAAGAGACCCATGTATTTCTAGAAATTTTATAACGTAGAGGATAAGCTAATTGCAGGAAGATGAAAAGAAACCAGTGGAGAATGTGTATTTCTTATTTTTCCAAATGGCTACTGAGCTGTAGAAATAACAGGTCTGTCCCAAAGAGCCCTCATCAGCTGAATTGGCACTACTGAACAGCTCCAAAACTGATGTAATTCTAGGAGAGAAAAATCCAGTTACAGAAATTGAAGGATGCAAGAATACAGTAGAAAATAAAGAAAATGTGTTCCACCAGCAGAGGACAGGAACAAAACACCAAAGAGATGCCAAACAAGACGTATCGGTTTTGTCAAAGGGAGATGCACACCGCAACAAAAAAAAGAAAAAGAACAGAACAAAAACCCATCCCATAGAAAGAAAATGGAAAATTGCTGAAGAAATAAAAGCACACACATTTTCCAAAAGATTTTTTGTTTTATAATCAAATTTTTTTTTACATAGACAACTGAAACACACCAATATTTTGTGCGAAAAATATTTTTAAATAAACTTTGCTCGTTCTTGATTTTTGTACATTCTGATATACATATGTAACAAGGTTTATGGCACTGTAACCAGGATCAAAATCATATAAAGGAACAAAATAATTGCTCTCATTTATCCTTTCTGAACCAAGCCGGCTGCCGTTGCACTATTAGACTTTAAAAATTATTATTATTATGGGGCAGCCAACTCTAACTGGTTTGAACACTCAAAACAAACCCCAAATTATTATTGCACAAGAAGCCAGTGAAGGCATATGGCATAGAATGATCAAAGTCCCTTACTGTTAAAACCTTACACCCCAAAAATAGAAAAATAGAACTGGAACATGAAACACGCCAAATAAACTTTTTTTTTTCTTCTTCTTCTTTTCTTTGAGTCAGGAGTGTGAAAAGTGCCTTGCAGCCTTTTTAAGCTGCTCCGATCTCCTTTGCACCGGTGAGCATTTAGCTAGGTTATCTTTAGCAAAGCCTTTGCAGAACAAAGGCCCTTATGTCTCAGGGAGGTTTTTTTTCCGGCTTTGTTTTGGCTGTTTGTGTTTCATCTTCAACTTAGGTTTCTTCAGTCTATGAACCTGCACAGACTACTTAGCCATAAACTCTACAAGTAGCTGGAAAGGAGGGAAAAAATAAAAAGAAAAACCCAATATTTCTTCTTGATTTTAAGAAGTACTCCTTTTGCTCTGAAGCCTTCATACTCTGCCAGTGTCTGGAAAAGAAATCACAACAGCATCCCAAACATGGCGAAGTTCTTCGATCTCTTTAAAAAAAACCCTTTTCTTACCAAAAAAAAAAAAAAAAAAAGGTTTCTATTCACAAAAAGTTTTGCCACAAAAAGCCCCCTTGAAAGCTAAAAAGAAAAACCCACAACCCACCCATCACTGCCCCAAACCAGGTGAAGAACAGGTTAATCCCTCCTTTGACCTCCTCCTTGCAGCTTCGCCATCACACAACAGTCTCTACGCCAATCAGCTTTGGTGTGAGGATTCGCGGTGTGACACCGTTGTTTAGATCTTCTTCGAACTCCAGCAACTGCCCCATAAAGTTAAGGTTAGGTGAAATGATTGGTCGTTTGCCTTTTACGAATTTATAGGCATCCGTCATGGTCATGCGCGTGTGCTTCATTAAGTACGCGATAACTATGGTGGCAGATCGGGAGACACCAGCCTGGCAGTGGATGAGGAGGCCTTTCCCACACTGATGAGCTTCCTCTGGAAACAAGACAGACAGAAGAAAGTAAGATTTTTGCCAGTGTTTAAATTAGAAAAAGCTCTGTGCAATTAAGAGTAACTTAATGTGAAAAGTCCTTTTATTGGATTACAGGCACAGCAGTGTCTCCTCCCGTTCCCCTCCAGCTCATCTTCCTTCAGGGTTTCATGTGAATGTGAAACGCACAGGCCCGTCTAACACTGAAAATCCTCACGTTCACCATTATCTCTATTAAATGAGCTGCACATTGAGAGACACTGCTGCGCTGCTCACGTGCACTGGCAGGGAGCATTTATTTAGGAGGTCAAAACCCATGATGAGGCAGCTCGGGCTCCATCTCCACCTCTGTCGCAACGCTGCTGCATTACGTTGGCATCTCAACCTCCACATCTCTCAAAGCAGGACACCCCCTTTTCAAAAAAACAGGTATTTTCAGCTTCAATTCGTAACAACACATCTATTTTGAAGCCCTGTTTTTTGAAGCTATTACAAAGCTACTTTTGAAATGAGCTTCAACAGGGCACTCTGCTGCTTTGTCTCTGCAAAAGCAGGAGCTGGATCCGGTTTATACGTCAGCAGGACTTCACCAGTAAGTGACCTCAAATTCCGACTCCTCACTTCCTGCATATCAAGCGCTGTGTTTTGACTTTGTCACCTTCAGAGGTGTGAAAAAAGGGATTTGCCACCCTGCCTCTTTGCAATTCAAGCACAGAATCACATTCTGCTGACCACTACCTCTCCAGAGCTTCTCCCTGGGAGCTGTGGGGAAAGGATGAGGTAGGTAGGGAGGAAAATGACAGCACACACATACTCTCCACCAAGCTACACCACTTAGAGAGATGCAACCTGGGCAGGATTTAGGGAGAACAGAGCCCCTGGAACCACATGTTAATAGGACACAAGAAAGAGGAGAGTCACTACCATAACACCCTTATCTCCCACAGCTTGCTTTTAAAAAGAAGAGATAAAGTTTTGAAGATGTGACACTTAAATCTATTTATTTTGTTTTAATCCATAGGAGGAGCACGAATTTAGTTTGCAAGTTTTGGCATGAATCCAACCCCACCAAGAGTATGGTTCATCCTACCCTACATGTTCAACCTGTATTGTGAAAGCATAAATGAAGCCGACTTCCCTCTAGACATATTTGCCAGTTAGTATTTCAGAAAGCTGAAACTCTTCAATGCATTTTGACACTTTCCCAGAGAGTTTTTGATGATTTCACTTCCTATGGCTTTAGTCTTAGCTAAACCTGGGTTAGGTTGTGGTTTTTTTTCATGACATATTTAAAGAAACATAGGCCAATGATCTGCTGTTTAAATATTTCCAAGTTCTCTCAAATGCAATTTAAAGTTTACCCTGAGGAAGGGAAAGCTTTGACTAGTTACTTCCCCAGCTGGCTAAATTTGCTATGGAGAAAAACTCTCAGTGGAGAAATATTTGTTTATTGAAAACAAAGACAGACCCTCAAGCTGCAATTATTAAAAAGGAAAGTAAAATGGGTTTTGAAACACTTTCTGAACCTTCTCAGAGAAAGGCTGCTTTCTCTGCCCTTGGTAAGGTCATAAGCCAAACACTATCTTTTAGTGGTTTTGAGAGCTCTAATCCTGCAGTTTGTAGGGACGCTGGGTGCAGAAGTCTCCCTCCCACCCCCAAAGGGCCTCAGAGTTTGCAGTTTCTTTATGTAAGCTTAGCCTATTGCATCTCGCCATCTTATTGAATTCAAAGTTTAAGGTTTTACTGGATTTCTTGTCCCAGCTTTTCTTCCTAGAGGATCAAAGCAAGGTCCCTTCTCCCCTGCCCTCAGAGAGGGCTTTCCTCTCTGAGGAAAAACTTCTTCACTGTGAGGGTGACCGAGCACTGGAACAGGCTGCCCAGAGAGGTTGTGGAGCCTCCTTCTCTGGAGATACTCAAAACCTGCCTGGACACGATCCTGTGCAACCTGCTTTAGCAGGGGGGTTGGACTAGATGATCTCCAGGGGTCCCTGCCAACCCCTGCCATTCTGTGATTCCTTTAACTGAAGAAGGGGCGTTCACCTTCTCATGCACATAGCAGTTCAGGGAGCTGACAGCACTACTGGTAGAGCCAGGGTTGGGTTAGGAATACAAGGTAAAACTTGGTTTTAAGTAGAGATCCTTTGGTCCTCTACAGTGTAGTGGACAAGCCCAAAGGCCCCTGGTAGAAGCTCTCAGTGGTAAAACTCAAGCTTTCGTGCTGCACAGTCCATCTGAACTGCAGTGTAAGCAGTGATTTGCCTATTCACCTTCACTAAAGTAGCATGGCTACAGACTGTCTAAATCAGCACACAATGACCCCCTGCCAACTGAAACACAGCCGGACTAGGCCAACGAGCTGTCTGCTTCAGAGCAGCGATCCCCTGCACAGCCATACGGCAGGAGCAGATGGGTTCAGAAGAACATGCTGAGCTTGGACCTCCTGCACTAGGACACAGTCCCACACCTGGGGCCCAATTCTTGCTGAGCCCAAGAGCACCTCAGAGCCAGCACAAGCAGACTTGAACTCCAGGAGTTACACACCCACACCCTGACTCAAGGGCCATAAACATTGATGGTTTGAGGGCAGGGAAGAAGACGGCTCTGCACCCATTTCATGGGGTCAGCTAAGGACCTAAGCTGTGATGCAGCACAGAAACACACTTCCTTTGTCTAGTCCTCCACCATCAAGCCTGAAGTAGTGGTGAAGAGATTACCCCAGCCTCAGCACAAGAAAATAAAGTTGCTTTCTGAGATATGCTGGGGGAACCACTGATACACCTCTCACGACATGTACTTGTGCTGGGGAAGCACAAGTGGACATTCACTATGCTGCAAAGGTGTGCCTAAAGACATAGAGGGGCAAGGGAAGGTCCTCAAAAAGCTTTCAGTATCACGTGCTGATGTCCTCACTGACCAGCCTTGATTAAAGAGGCCATCTGGCTTTACCCTAGATGACCAGAGCTGAACGCACCCCTAAACTCAGTTGAGGGTTGTGCTGCGTGGATCAGAGCAAAGTTCAGAGCAACGTGGGTAATGTTGCTGGCTCATTTCTTCAGCGACCTCCCCAACAAGCTGCATGTCTGTGGTAAACTCCCTCATGCAGCCTATAGGGTTTAGAGGCTTATTAATACAAGTTTTCAGCACAATCCACTCATTCACACATACACTCTGAAGTTCTAAATCTTACGGTAGAACAAGTGAAGTGTGAAAGTTTGTCAGTTTTCTCAAGAAATTAAGTTAGGAAAGACTCAGCTATCATTAAGAATAGTTACTATGAAAAATTGGCTGGAAGCCACTATGGCAACTAGGAACGCGAACTAATCAAAAAGAGGGGATAGCAAATGTCTCAGTTTTCTGGGGTTTCCTAAATTTGGAAGCCTGGAGGTAGGCATCACTATCAAGAGGTAAAAACTGTACCCCCAAGCTACCTAACTGGATGTGCCAGAGATGAGAATGAACAGAAACATGAGGTGCTCAGCAATTATGACAACCTAAACAAAAGTAAATATGGCCTTACGCAGCCTCCAGGGTAGTTAGTGAAGCATAAAATTCACTCTAGATTCTTAGAACAGGTAAAAAACCAGGAGTATTTCCAGACAAAAGTAATTACCAATGAACTCAAAAGCCTCTTCAAAATACTGCCTGAGATTCTGCTTGTTGCTGTCGGTGGCTGGGAGCCGCTTGTAGTTGAACATGCCTTTCTCATAATGGTACAGGGGCAGGTGGGTGGTCACGTTGATTACGTAGCCTATGTTCATCCTCTGCATTTTCTCCAAGTCCTGAGCATCATGCTCGTTTCCAAGGAAAAGGAAGGGCAGGATGGGGGTGAGCTCAGCATTCTCGATGTCCGGTGTGGTGGGGATGGACTGAGGTAGCGTGGGGGGCACGGCTGCCGCACCGCCGCCGCCCCCTCCTCCCCCCTCCGGGCACTCTTGCAGCTGGAGGGAGTTATCGCAGAGGTTTTCATGGTTCTGCCTGAAACTGCTGAGTCCTCCTGGGAAGAGAGACCAAGCGGATATTTTGGTTAGACACCTCGAGGTCAGCTTTGGACCCACATTTTGTCAGAGCACATGCTGGGGCCACCAGGACTGGAGCTGGCTCTATTGTTCCCACCACCACTCTGTCATGGTGACCGATGCTGGGCACAGCAAGGGTGGCATGAATCAGCAGCACGTATTGTCCTCCCCTCTGCGAGGCTGATGGTGCCAAGGAGCAGGCTCACAGACAAACGCACCTCTGTGCGACATCAGTGTGCTGGGGCTGCCTCACCTATGAGCCTGCGACAGGAGGGAAGGGGGGCTGGGGGGGAACCCACAAAAACAAACCACCAAAAGGCATTTTTCCAAGAAGGAAAACATGGCCAAAACTACAAGGAAATGGGTTAGCAGCACATCAAAGCGAGCCAGCTGGGACGGTCTTTTAGCTTTACCTGTCCACAGCAGATTTGCCTGCCGGGAGCAGCCTTGCAGGGCATGCCCCCATCCAACACCCCCGAGGAGGGGCAGGTGCAGCTCATGCTGGCATCACTCTGGGGAGCAGTACGTATGCTTTTGTGTGGCTGAACAAAAGAAAACCGCTCCTCACAACCTAACAGCGACTGAGGTGCTCACTTCACATGTGGCAAACAGCTCTCCTTTTTCTGCCCCCATTGCCTGAAAATATCTAGCAAGAGTTATTTTTAGGACATTAATGTGGATTGGGAAATGGGTCTGAGGGGGGGGAGGGAGAAGCCACTTTTTTGGCTTGTGCCTCCCCCGGCTCTATTTCACATCTTGCTCGGTTTTTTCAGCAGCATTTCCCCCCCCTTTTTTTTTTTTCAGGAGGGCGGCTCCACAGAACTGGAGCAAGAAAAGCAGACCTTTCTACACCTCATTCGGCAATTACATCAGCCCCAGGCTCCCCACCTGCCTGGTTTCCATAGCGATTACACAAAGCACACAATGACATCAGCTGGCATGACATCAGCTCTTTGAGTGCAAACAATACAAGAAGAACTACTTTGTGTAAGGCCTTTGGTAGGAGGCGGCGTTCCTGGGAGCCGCTGATGTAATGCTAACAGGTGGCTCCTCCAAAAGAAAAAGGCGGAAAGAAAGAAAATGCAATGATATATTCCCCCCCGCCTCGCCCGCAAAAGCGCACATTTATGTTGTACCAGGATACTTGGAGTCATGCACCGCATTGCGATGGGCCAAGCATTCAGACTCAACTGCACTTTGTTAAATGCAAGCCAAAAAAAAAAACCCAAACCAGGAAGGGGGAGAGCTATGCTGAAGTTACTAGAAAGAGCTACACTGGCCAAAATAAATGCTGAATGTCACCATACCAATAATGTTATTCTTAATAAAAGAAAAAAAAAAAGAGGTTCTTTGTTTTTTCCATGCTTTTTTGCAGTGATCTAGCAAAGAAAGATTTTAAAGCAAAACACACTGTCTCATAGGCTCTGGATTAGACACAAAGGGCTTAGAGGCCTACGTCTCGCGTGCTACAACTCCAAGTGTCCACACGCCTGCCCATAGGGTGGGACCCACCCAGGGACCACCTTGGTGCCCTACACAGTACTCGATGGGCATGAGGCACCCAGACTAGGTTACAACCGAGTCCCTCTAATGCAAGTGCTCTTTTGATGACCGGACTTCTGTCCTTCACATGCTGCTAATAACTCATTTTCCCAGAAATCCTTGAATTGCCCGCAAAACACAGAGTATTTCCCCCGCCTCAAAAGTATGCTTGTCTTCAGCTGTTTCTGCTGTTTACAGGACTCAGAGCAAACAGATCTGCCTTAAAAATCTCTACTTGCCAAGTCATTACAACAGGGGAGCAGGATAGAAGGAAAAGCGAGGACAAAAATCTGAGCTTGGCTGCCAACTACACCACCTGGCCTTGACAGGGTTTGGAGAGTCTTCTCAATCCACTCAAGAAAACAAACAGGACTACAGTCCCCAAGCTGAAGATGTTTGAAGTCTCATCCAAACCGACAGGCCCGGCCTTGAGTCTAGGCTAAAAGCTAAGCCCTAACCCACATTCCCATCCTTCTGTAGAGGCAAGTAATCCATTCAGCTTAAGTATTGCTGTTTAAACGGTAACCAGACCACGCTGAGATTCCCAAGAAAATCCCTGATAAATAAGTTGTTTTAGTGACTCCAGAGCCAACACTCATTTTCCACCTCTCCTGTAGCCTTCTGGGAGTAAGCAGCCATAGGTGGAGGTAGGATCCCATTGCTTCATCACTCAGGCACAGACACACTGATGGTGTGGCAGATACCATCTTGCTTCACCACCTGCCTTGTAAAATACAGCAGAGCTAGAGAATCTAGAGCAAGCTCTTTCCTCACCACCTATGTCCTCCTTTCAGCACCTCTGCTTTCCCTGTTGGCCAGAAGACACTATTATTCCTGTAACCAACTCTTCCTCAGTGCAAGCTTTGGTCCAGCAGGTGGAAACAGGGAGGAGAGGACAAGAGACCATTACATTGTACAGAACTCCTCTGCTATCACTGTACCCAGAAGAGATCAAGGTTGTGCAAGGCAATCTCCACCACTCCAGCAGGAGCATTGGGCCAAAGGATGGGAAGGCAGCCCCCAAATACACCATGTGAAAGATGCCCAAACAAGCAGAATAGCCAGACATACAACAGCTTCACCCACTATTTCTTTCCTCACATTCACCAGTGAAGAGGTCACCTTTCCTAATGTCAGTCCACACACCCCCTTCTCCTTGTTCTCCTCCCTCAAGTGGGCAGGGAGTTAAAGTCAGTTCAAGCAATATTTAAAGTACCATACCCAAGCAACTCTCATAGTAAGCGTCCCTGAAACAACATGTTAGTGGGGAGAGGATTACTAACCTGAACTGGCTCTGACATGTGAGCAAGGGAGGATTGGACACGAACACTAGTACCCAGAAAGGATGCAGCAAGATGCAGCCACAGAGAGAAGCTGAGCTCCAAAGCTAACAGTAGGAGCTTAGCTTGGATCTGTACTGACATACGAGTCATGCAGGTCCAAAACAGGATCCAGGTACTGCACTCACCACACACAATCCTTGCTCCTAGCTGATTTATGAGGCACTAGTGTAATTTAAGTGGAGTTCCTGCATGCATGATGCTCAGGTTTTTCTAAGGCTTATGAGACTACTTCCTGAAAGGTCCAAGCAAAGTTCATTATGACCAGTCAGAAAGAGTCTAAGAGGGATGGACTTTCCACATGAAGGTAAATACAGTGTGCAAGGTATTCAAGTGCACCTGTATTCCTTTGTCAAGCAGCTGCTATTTCAGCATTTAGTCTTTGTGCAGTGGGGGAGAGGAGGTGGGAGAGAAGAGGCTGTACCCAGACAGAAAGCCCAACACATAGCTACCACAAGTCTGGTCTAAGAGTTGATTCATTAAACTCGGCAAGGACCAAGACATATCACTGCTACTGACAGCAACTCCAGATCGTGAGGAAGCTCAAGGCATGGATGCAGAGACTTCACTCGTGGTTCTAACAGAAGCTGTTTTGTGATCAAAGCTGCTCAAGCCTTCCCGAACCTGGGGCATGAAGGAAGCGTTACAGAGGGCAGCAACAGGGCGCTTAGAGAAGCGGCACAACTGGCAGAAGCTACTCACCAGCACAGAAGTAAGCTGCATTTTAAAAGCAGCTTTTCAGCTGCTATTTGCAAAACACAAAAAGCCTTCATCACGTACAGGCAGCCTAAGCAGAGAGGCAAGACAATATATCCACCAGCAAAGACCATTAGCATGCACAGCACTGCAGTCTGAACAGCAGCCATGAAGCCCAGACTCAGCTTTGTAGCCACCTTCAGTGACAAACCAAAATGCCAGCAGCTAGAAAAGCCACCAATGTTCACTTCTACCGAATGCCATGCTTGTAACCGTCTCTTCTAGCTTTAAACGTATCAGATATCTTTAATAACCAAAATACAGCAAAAAGCCCAAACCACCCTGCCAGTGTGATGCAGCCCACGCACGGATGTGGAGAACATACCAAGTGCTTTTGTGTGCACTCTGCTCCAGAACAGCTGCCGGGCAGGCTTTCAGGGGGGACTGAACCTACCCAAATCCAAATGAAGATGGACATGCAAGGACGCCTAGCACACTGGGGAACCCAAGGTATTTCTTCCGTAAGAAAATGAATCAATGAAGCAGAACCCTTCATAGCAGGTGGCCTTGCCTGCTGTCTAGTGGAACACAACAGAAGACCAAAGGCTATTGCTTGCCACTGATGCAAAAGCCAGATTTTTTGCAGTTATCACTGCATGGTATCTTCCAGCATCCTGCCCTGCCCGAACAATTTGTGAGCGACAGACTTTGGATTGTCCAAGATCTCAAAACTTTTAGGAAGTCTCAAGTCAGCACCATAAGCTATTCATACTTGTTTGTTCAAGTTCTTTGCAGCCATCTGCCCATAAACATCTGACTTAATGCTCCTCAAAATCCCCTGCTGAGCAGCGCCTGGGCAGCAGCTGCACACAGATTTCCCAGCTCCAAAGCCACCCAGGAGCCTGGGGCTTGCACCAGCACTACAAGGCCAGGTGAGCAGCTGGGCAGGAGCCAGAGCAGCTCTGAACAAATTAAAAAAAAAAAAAAAAAAAAAAAAAGACAAGCAGCATGGTGCTTGCATAACAGCCCTGCCAAACATGGCATCTGTCATTTACCATCAGAAGAGGGCAAATACAATGCAAATGAGGGACAAAAGTTATGTTAGAAGCTCGGCAACCAGCTTTTACAATGGACCATGACCTTGCATAGAAACAATCTTCAAAGCAAGCAAGAAAAACAAGCCTTACCTGCATACATTTTATACAAGTGATTTTTAATTTTTTTTTTTTTTTAGAGAAGATTGAGAATTAAAGTACAAGTAGCACAGTAACACCTGCCCCCCTTCCCTATGTCTTCTTTGACACCTCTTTCAACCATCACTGCTGTCCTATGTCTGCGTGACTATATACAAACTAGGATGTGGCGTTACAATATGTTACAGCAGATTTACAATATGTTTC